TGTTGAGAGAGATTAATCACAAACAGTCACCAGTGATTTTGATCATTTCGTTGGGGGGTGAGCAAACAGGAATTCGATGACACAATGCCTGACATTCATTTGTGCATTAGAATCATGGTCATGCATTTAATTGAGTTTACTTAAGATATATGACTAGTTACCTTATTATAAAAGTATTAGAAAAAGTTTCACACTGAAGTAAGGTTGTTGGTTCGTCCCCGGCTCCTCCCCGGCTCCCTTGGTGCCACATGTCTTATATCCTTGAGCAAGATACTGAACCCCGAATTGCTCCTGGGTCCATCGGTGTGTTGCACCGTGTATGAACGCATTAGTTTCTGTTCGATGGCATCACTGTGTGAATGTGCTGTGAAAGGGTAGGGGGGGGGGTATGTGGCACGTAGCCGTATAAAGCGCTTTGGAGTGGTCGGAAGACTAGAAAGCGCTTACAAGTACAGGTCCTTACCCATTTACCATTTACCATTACTGTATGTGTCAATAAACTCAGCTTAATGGGTGATTATTATTATTATTCCTACCACCGGTGAGGGGTTTATCAGACTCAGGAGTGATTCCATGCTCTGAGACACTTGGGCATACTGGGCCCAGTAGCCATTCGAAGGTCGGTACCAAATCTAAGCCATCACATGAACCTCAGGGGAATGGAGGAATGAGGATGTAACAGAACATGCTTGGCTGCTTTCTATCTACAACAAGTGTGAGAAATTCATCCAAACCTTAAAGGAGCAATGGAAACCACATCAGGGATTTTTAATGTTTGCATTTCATTTTCCAAACCACTGAGTCATTATGTTCATTGTAACAGCCAATGTCTGTGAGCCCTGTGACAGGACACATCTTAAAAAGGATTGACAGCTTGGCAACATGATGAAAACAACATCTGTTTTTTAACATGTGTTTGCATACACTTTAAATAATGAACATGCAGAAAGATTTATTTGTCTTATTAGCTCTCTGTTTGATTGCCCTGCGACTGAGTGCCCCCTCAGGCTTCAGAACTGCTTACCTCCTCAGTCCTGAGTCAGCTGCTAAATCAACTTAATGATTTCAATTGCCCTCACTTCCTTTTATTACAGTATGGGTTCACAGTTCATTTTGTCAAATGCAAACACAAATAAAATGCAGTTATGATTCTATGGGTTTTAATTTTTGCTCTGCCAGTAGTGGCTTTAAAGATGTCAGTTCACAGGTCAGTCACTCTGTTCCTCCAAGAGTGTTATTAGCAGTATTACTAGCATGGCTGTTCTAACATGTGGCATGAAGCTTCATGTTCCCCAGATGAAGATTCCTATTGGTTTGAGTGACCATTTTCTGAACGAATGTCACAAAAGTAACTAAATGACCCTGCAGATGGCTATTCCACGGGAAACCACAGATGTGTTTAGGGAGAAATGGAAGTGGTTCTCGCTCTTTCCTATGAAAGTTGCTCAATGGCACCCGCTGTAAAAATTTCTGCCAGCTGAGCTGGCTAACTTCCGGTTTATCCCTCCGTAAACTTGAGTGGGGATAAAATAAGTTCATCATGCCACTCTTCTAGACTTACCAAATGTTATCGGACCGAATGGATTAAATTCTGAATAAATCATTTTGGAGGGTTGTGATGCTGAAAAGTAAATCAACCATATTACAGCTGATTCTTCCACAATGCAAGCATATAGGAAAAAGTCTTTTGGACCAGTGTGTATAGATAGGCTTTATTAATCCCCAAAGGGAAATTGGGTCATCATAGCAGCCAGTATTACGTGATTGATACCATCACTGGAATTAGACTACAGTGTTTGTAGTCTAGCGCTCTTCCTGGGGGCTTGCAGGAAACTATTTAATGTAAAAGGTCTCTCTGTCATGGCTTGCTTATAAGTCCGTCCAGCTCAACGCACCAAACTCAGATCAAACTCTCAAACTATTTGGGCGGATGTGGCTGAGGCAGAGCAGTAGAGTGGGTCGTCCACTAATCAGAAGGTTGGCAGTTTGAGCCCTGGCTCCTCCCACTGCATGTTAAAGTGTCCTTGAGCAACATATTGAACCCAAAAGATGAGTCAGAGCTCAGTTTTAACGAAAAAGAGCATAATTGAGCTTCATGGTGAGAGCTTTGCATTCATCACAGGAAGAAGGTTGTTTTATTTCACAGACTGTGTAAGTGCTGTGAATACACAAACACTGTGCTACTTTATGGTTTCTCCTAACAGCTCGAGCCAGCTCACACACACACACACAACACACTCTGCCTGTGTGCCAGCTTGCTGACTGCATGCTCACTGAGAACTTTTTCACATTTGTTTACATAGTTACCAGCCAAACACTTCACAACCAATTCCTGCTGCTTACCCTGAGAGTCCTGCCTAAGACTAGGAGATGATGAGTGCACCGCTCCTGTCTGAAAGCCAGAGTCTGCCTGCATTTCCTCCTCAAATTCCCGTGTTCCCCTGACTGACTATTGTTCAAGGAGATTTAACTCAACACAGATTACATTATTAGTATTATCTTAGACAAATATAGACTTTTCTCCTGGATTATTAAGATATTATCCCCACTTCACTGTTAAAGATTCCTTGAGCTTGAAATCCAATCACAATTCATCATTACTTAGAATTAAATTAATAATAGATGTCACTACAAATGGTAATAACAGCCACCCATTCATTTTCTATTGCTTATCCAAAGCCAGGTCACAGTGGCATCAGGTTGTCCAGACGCTCCTCTCTCCAGCAATGTTTTCCAGCTCCTCCTGAGGGATCCTGAGGTGTTCCTAGCCAGATGAGATATATAATCCCTTCAGCGTGTTCTGGGTCTGCTTTGGAGTCTCCTACCAAACAAAGGTGCCCAGGAGGCATCCTGATCAGATGCCGAACCTATACTCTGAGCTCTCTCCAGATGTCTGAGCTCCTTACCCTATCACTAAGGCAGAGTCCAGCTACCCTACAGAGGAAACTCATTTCTGCCACCTATATTCTCTCATTCTTTCAGTCACTACCCAAAGCTCATGAGTGCTGTATGATCAAAAAACCAACACAGGTCGATGGTCCGATTCTAAAGTTATTATTATTAATTGATTTACTGAACCTTTGCTGCTAACACTCTCATGAAAGGTAAAATGTCAATGCCAGGGTTTTGCCACAAGAGAGTAATGTTAGCACTTTTTTGTCTGTGTCCATTTGAAAAGTAATTAACACAATGACATGTAATTCTGAAATGAGACATTTGTCTCAAAAACAAATACTTAGGATTCCCTGGTATTTTATAAAATATATGTATTTGGAGGTAAGCAATCATAGCTGTATGTATGTACACAAATCCTCGAGACCTGTGAAACCTTATTGTATTGACCAATGCAGATGACACAGTACTCACACCTATACATTTTTGGCCATTTTGTATCAAATGTATTTAATTCCATAAAGAAGAATGTGTTTCACTGCCTACTTCACCAGCCTGGAGTTGTGTATGAATTATTCTTGTGAGAGGGACACATTTTGTGATGAAGAGGTGGGAGGAGGTGAGAGGAAAGACGTGAGACGAAGACGATAAATTACTCACCTGTTTTCTCTTTGATTTCACAGAGGACGCTGAAGAGTGCAGACTTCATCCTGTGACAGTTCAATCCATGTTTCCTACCAAAACACATCAGAGAAGGTAAATCAAAGGGCAATGACATAAGCATTTAACAAGACATAATAAAATGATTCTCATGCAAACGAATAATATTAACTCCCATAAGCTTGAGGGAAGAATGCAGAAGGAATGCATACATAATAAGTCAGTTCAACACAGCTGGATTTTGACCTTCACGATCCCTCAGACATGACACAAATACAAATAGTCTGCTTGGAACAATAATGTGTGTTTGATGTTTTTCTGCAAAAAAATAATAATTTCTACATTAAAATCCTTAAAAAGTCATCTACTCCTTTTGCCTCATTAAAAATTCCAGAATCTATGAATGGCAACAAGAAGAAACACTGATTGTGACTGACTGTAGGGGAGCTTTAAACAGACCAAAGTGAAGCCTAAATGTTCTTTATGCTCCTCAGTCTGCTCTTACAACCTCAGACGTCAAATATTTATTGCCTCAACCAATACAATTTGACCTCTGCTTAGTCACTGAGTAGACTGTAACTAACTGATAAATGTCAGATTTTGACATTTCAGTTGCCAGGTGACAGAGTAAGGCATTACACAAGACCAGAGTGGCAGACAGGCCAAACCAGCCTTAAAGTGGATATAATATCAACATATGTAATTATATCACTAATTAAAAAGCTAGATAGCAGATTTTGAAGATCAGTGTGGAGAACATAGGATCTTTTTACAAATGAATAACCCATCAGAGTGCCATAAAAAGATGTCTGACAGGTTTAGATATACTGCGACCCCTGGTGATTCTAGTTTTAAAGGATACAAAGATAATTCCATTATGTTTCCCTTTTAGAGCATATAGTTACAGAGGTTATTGAGCTTCTTGTAAATGAAGAACTTGCAGAAAGTGAGTATGGTAGAACAGGGTTGGTCGTTACACTTTTTACTTAGTTTACTCATTTGAATCCCTCAACAACTATATTGTGTAATGGAAGTGTCAGGTAGGAATGAAGTGACCATGTCCTATATTATGTTAATTTTATTTCTATTCTATGTTTTTTTTCTTTTACTTTTTATTTGTGCAGTACTAGTACTGATAGTATCCAAAACTGGATCTTAAAAATACATTTAAAAAGTTAAACCTAACACATCTCCTGCATTAACAGAACTTTGAAAAAGAAAAATCTTTAATCTTTCCCTTTTATCCTTATATAACAATAAAAAGAATTGCATTTATCACTGATTAACATATTGATTAAAGCATTTGATGTTTGTGTTAATGAGTACTGTATGTTTGATATGTATTTGCCTCCTAAACAGGTACTTTTTTCAGCAAATTCAATTGCAATTCTGCTGTAACGTGGTTTCCATGACAACCACAGTAAAAATAATTAATAATTCCAGGTCCAGTCATTATAATAAAAAACTCTCAAAATAATGATGGCGAATCACAAAATAATGCGAAACTATGCCATAATTTTGAGATACTATGTTCTTATTTAGAGAGTTTCTCAATATTTTGAGACACCAAGTCATTATTTTGAAATATTAAGGCATTTTTTTTAAAAAGTTCCTCATTGTAATGACTTGCATGATCCTTTTTTTATTTCATTGGCGGAAATGGGATTCTATAGACTGCGGTCAAGAGTGGAAGTTTGCACTTTGTTTAATTTATTTTCTTTGTCAAACAAAATGTTGCAAAACATCATATAGCCTGTATGTAGCCTATAGGCTAACCAAACCCGGCTTTCACAATAGGAACTATTACCAGATTTCGTGGATTTTATCTTCTAACTACATTATGATTAATTCCCAAAAAAGATGAAAGTTATTTTGCCATTTAAACCTGTAACTTCAGAGGATGAAATGAGTATTTCTCATTAATGATAATATAACACTATCATACCGTTTCAATAGTTAAAATGAACACGGCAAAGTCTACCTGTGTTTACTTGAACTATTTGCATCCATTAGGCTAATAATAATATACAAAATGAATGTGAAAAATATATGAAAAAGCAGGACTAACTTTGCCTGCGCTTCATCCAGACTCTGGTCCGTAATAGTCATGATCTGATGTAGAATAGTCCCGATGTCCTGCTTGCGTCGGTCCCCGTCGGTACAGTCCTGGATATGAGGCAGTGGCAGCCCGACGGTTCCCTGCACCGAGTGTCCGGCCAGAGTCATGCCGCTGAGAGCCTGCATCATCCGGCCCTGATCCTCCATGTCTGCCGCAGCACAATCGATGCGAGAGAGAAGAGGAAAAGAAATCAAAGCTGCAGTTTATATCCAACAGAGAGGGAGCAGGAGTGCTGAACAGATGCTCCACACGTGCCTAATATTCTCCAGGAGGTGTGTTCCGTTATCAGCCTGCGCGCAGAATGAGGCTGCTGGCTGCTGAGGGTCGCTCAGACCAGCCCTCACACTGCTCCTTGTTGCGTCTCATCCACCGACCGGAGCGCGGATACCGTCCATATCCCCCCTCCAAAACTTCCAACCAACCGTGCTGGTGTTGATGTTGGCAGCAGCTTACAGTCCGCCGATGCTGTTTTCTACCAACCAGGCTACTTACCAAAGTTTGGCAGTGGGAACATATTTATGATTCCAGCAGCAGAATGACTGTTCCTATATTTCGCATCACTCTCCAGCCTGGCAGTGTAAGCTGTCAGCAGCTGCACTGATGTGGGACACTGAACTACACAATAAATCTGAAAGCTATGATAATGAGCTCCACCCCCTCTGAAGACTGGAAACCTTTGGCTGTTTTATGAGGACGCCAGGCATAGTCAGTGGCAGTGAAGGGAATTCAGGCTCTTTTTAGTGGTGCACATCTTTTGGCTCAGCTCAGCAATAAGACACCGTTCTTTTGGCTTTTGGATGTTTATAATAATACAAGTGACTGGAAATAAAAAAGTGAAAGTAAAAGGGGGAAAAAGTATGTAAGTAGTAGAACAAGAAATAACAGTCATTAAAGCTGCAGTACTTTTATGAAAATTAACTTTTTGTCATATTTGCTGA